GAGGGAGTTTTTCCTTTCCACTGTTGCATCTGTGCTCGCTTAGGATGGGAGACTGCAACAAAGTAAAAACTGGAAGCAATCTGCAGGCTCCTTAGATTAATATTGTTATTAACTGATTTTTATGTATGTGAATGTTTCTGTTCAGTGCCCAGAGACGACTTCTGTTGTGAACTGGCGCTGTATAAATAAACTGAATTGAATTAATTTGTTTAAATAATCACATCGATATTACTCAGTTTTGGATTGTAAAGATAAAAACTGAAAATCAGGAAATTAAACATGTTTGATGGAGAGTATGTGTAAAGTTTTTTTTTTTTTTATATAATATCAGAAAAAACTCTGCCCTTCTGCTCAAGTTTCATTATCATAGCTATGGGTTAAATAAAATAAAAATATCTAGGATTGCAGACTAACTATGTGCATTTCAAGCTAGTAAAAACAAATAAAAGACAAAAAAAGCCTTTTAAAGACCATTTGTTCATATTTAATAAAATTGAACATTCTGAGACCATAGGAACCACAGCGAAACAAAAAACATTTGGATGTATAATGTATTTTCTTTACAAATAAAAAGTACATGCATTCATTCATTCATTCATCCCACTTTAAGGCATTGCAATGTGTATTTAGTTTTGCAGTTAACAGTAATTTTTACAATCTGAACTATATATTGAATCACAGCTGCTTGTTACAGCAGAACAAATATTAATCTGGTTGTGTTGTGTGACACCTTTTCCTCACAGTTTTACTAATTGCACTCTATTGCAAAATGATGAATGTCTGTTCATTCTAGTTATGTACACGTTAAACTTCAGGTCATTTTGGTTGTGATACCATAACAGAATTATCCATCACTCCATGTTTCTTAAAACCTCCCTCTTCACAGTTCATATGCTCCCTTGTTGCCAAAAAAACTCCAGACCTTCTTGTGTCCTCCTCACTGAGGTCCAAGGCCTCCTTGTGTGCTCTGGCTGTCACCTTGGTCGCCTCCCCACAGCAAATAAAACTGACTGAAGTCCACGTAGGGCGGGACCCTGCCTGTCTCATCAGGCTGGGCTGCTTGGCTTCCTCTCTGGCTTCGGAACAGACTTCCATCCCCCGAACTGGAGCTGGAGCTCTGCGTTTGAGTGTTGGTGGACTGCAGGGTGGCTGTGGGACTCTGATTGCTGGGGAGAGTGGAGGAGCAGAAGAAAGAGGAGGAGGAGGAAGATGGTTGATTGGGAATAGTGGAGGATGTAGAGGAGGAGATGGGTATAAGTGTTGGAATAGAGGAGAAGGGAGAAGGGGGAACACCGTACGAAGGAAAGAGGTCCATGTCCATGTGGGTGGGGAGACAAAAGAGAGAAGTGGAAAGAGGTAAGGTTCGAGGAAGATGGGGTGTGGTGGACAAAGAAAAGACAGAGGAAGAGAGAGGGAGAGAAGGGTGATGATGATGAGAAAGAGGGAGTTCAAATATGGGCTGCAGGATGTCAACAAAAGCTTGGCAGGCATTTGCGTGAAACAAGCTTAAGGAGCAGAGAAACAAAAGGCAAAGGACAAATAAGAGCAAGCCGGGGTCCATGAAGAAGAGAAATACAGACATCAGTCAGACAGAGAGACAGACTGAAGGACATAAAGGGAGACAATCTGAAGGAGAAAGTTTTCAGGATGACTGAGCAAAGGGGAGAAAATCAGAAGAAAAAAGGTGCACATGCAGCAACACCAATGCAGCGACCTTATTTATACTGTGCAACTGTACACAAAGTGGTAATCATGTGATGCTGAATGACACTTCAAGGTATTTTATACCCTGACAAAGTACATATTTATACAGTGTGTTGACAAAGACTGGTAATTACCTAAGCTGTCACTTTATAATTGTATTTTTTTAATTTATTATACAGTAGTCCCTCGTTTATTGTGCAGGATCCATACCCTGAAGCCCTGAGATAAGTGAAAAACCGCTAAGTAGGAATAGTAGTACAAGTAGTACTCTTGCAATAGTCTAAAGAATGTTTCTAAACTCTAAACGCTCTAAAAGAGCACAGCATGTCATGATTTCAGCTCCCTCCTCCTCTGCTCTTTGCCACCTGCACACGCTCTTGGCCACACCCACTTCTCTGCTCTGCACGATGAACAGCTGATCAGCTGCAGCAGGAAGTTTATCCTGCAGTGTGGGCTGCACAAATGTGCAGCATGTGCTAAATAATTTTAAATAATTTATTTTAAATAAAAATTCCATGCCGATTGTGCGGTTCATTTGATGATTTGTGTGTCATGTCCAATCTTATTTTGAAAAACCGCGATGGGAGTGAGTCCGCGATAGACGAACTGCGAAGTAGTGAGGGACTACTGTACCGAGTTATGCAGCACAGGAAGTATTTCAACAACACACTTTCTTCACAGTAACCCCCTGTGATGTTTTAAAACCTCTGCTGATTTTTATGAAGCACAAACTGTAACCAAAAACTTACATTTCAGCATTGTTTGTTTCTAAACAACATCAACAAAAGACCACAAGTGATTAACTACAAATGTACACACACAGTTGTGCTTGGTCAAGATAAATATATATTAATATAACATACATTTTCGGTTATAATTAATAAGCCACCGAAAAGTAAGTGCAATACGCTACATGGAGCAAAGAGCAGGATAACTATGGGGAAGTGAAACTTTGCCTAAATATAAATAAACACAGCGGTGGAGGAACTCAGGGGAGTGAAAAATCAGGCTTGCCTAAAATAAATACAGCAGGGAGGAACCCTCCAATAACCTTGCTCATTCAAAACACAGTCAGAACAAACTTAACGATGGGGAGAGGAGTTGGGAGCCTGAACAAAGCTCAACCTGATTACAAGCAGTGGAACAAAAAAAATAATGAAATGCACCAAAAAGAAAAATAATTAAGATGCAAAGCAGGAGAAAGGGGTAAATCCTAGAGCCAGTAGAGGACAAAAATATTCCTATGCTTACCCTGGTGTGGAGGTGCCTTCCCCCAGGGTAGAGGCCGTGTTAGTTCCATTGGTGAGGGTATTCTGGGAGGGCATTACCAGTGAGAGGGTGACACTCGTCTTACTGGTACTCTGGCTGTTTGAGTACGGCACGGACACAGGATAAATACGACCACCTGAAACAGGAACAGGACACATACAAAGTTAGAAAATGGTTGGATTTATTTTTCTGCCTCAGAGATTCCGCATTTTTATCCAAATATAAAGCTGTTTTGCTGAGCTGAGCTGTTTTGATCGAAAAATAGCTGAGGTGCTCCATTTGTTCAATGTTATCCATGTAGAATGTGAGGAAAAAAAAACACTAAGGTTAAAAAATAACATTACCGAAATGCAAACAAACCCCTTTCATTTTCACTATGAAATACTTAAATTAAACGCAGCTTATGCTTAGAAAATAACACCAACAATTACCGGTAACTTAAAATAACAGTGCTAAATTGATTCCTTATTCTCCACCATGACTGAAAAGTATAACTCCACTGACAGAGTCCCTTTTAAAACACTGATGGAGTCTGACAGTTCAGACAGTACAGGACACATTTCAGAAACAAGAACATCAAACATCCGCCTCCTCTCCTGGAAGCCGACCGCAGCCTCGGAGCATTACAGCTTTAAAGTCTTGCCAACTGAAACTAAAATTGGCTAAATGGCTAACCACAGTGCAGGCTATGCTAACAAGGCAAGGATTTGTCTCGTCTTGGTAAATGCTGCATGGCATCCCTAGTTGCTACCAGCATGGCAGCATAAACAGTTGAGGGGCAAAAAAGAAACCATCCATCCATTATCTTTTGCCAACTTCTTCCTTTATGGGTCACGGGGGTCACTGGTATCCATATCCAGCAGTCATTGTGTGAGAGGCGAGGGACACCCTGGACAGGTCTCATGTTTTTGGTCTGTGGGAGGAAACCGGAGTACCCAGATAAAACGCACGCATGCACAGAGAGAACATGCAAAACACCTAGAAAGATCCCCGGCTGGGATTCAATCCGACAACCTTCTTGCTGAGAGGAAACAGCTCTACCAACTGAGCCACTGTGACGTCAGTACTAGTAACACATTTTCCAAAATAATACTCGTTATTACAGACATGTTTCGCCTATTCTTTGTGTAAATCTATATGATAAATATCTTGCTACATGCTCAATAATCCAGGTAGAAAAACCTAACAAAGTTAAGGCAGGTCCTCTGGACGGATTAAAATTTTCAATCCGTCGAAGACTTGGCTTAACTTTGTTAGATATATGCTAAATAGTGAATTACCGTACATGCTGGAAAAAAGCTAAGTTCATTGTCTAGGCACTGATGTGTACATTATAAAAATCTTAAATATTTCCAGAAATAGGAGGAAAAAAAAAACTAAAATACAGGCTGTTAGCAGATTTTTGGTAAGACTAAGCAGACATGTAAAGTTCTTAACTACTTTAAGAGCAGTTATGTAATGATCTATTTCGAATGGTTCCAGCACTTGGTAAACTTACCACAGTAGTGAAATTATCTTGGTCAGCTTTGTGGCGACTTGATAAGGCTTGGTGGGAGGCTTATTACAGAATGATCTAGTACGCTGTTTTCACAATATGAATTATGTTTGTTCAAATAGGACAAATCTTTCCATGGGTTTTTAGACTGATGACACAGCATACAGCACTCAAGGCATTAATACGTGGTTTTGACATGTAAACAGAAAAGCAGGTGTAGCACCTAGCTAGATGGCCTCCACAAACCTTGCCTACAGCAGTCAATAGCTTTTCCTGAATATTTCTATTTTAGTGGGCTTCAAAGTCCGATGCCTATAAATCAAGTAATTTTAAAACGGTTTCTTAAGTGCGTAAATCTCTATTGATTACATTTGTATTTACTGGATGGCTGGCTTTATTTTGTGTCTGAATTTTTTTTTCTTTCTAAAATTCTAATGTTCTCATTATTTTTATGTGAGTTTATTTATTTAAAGTTTAAATCAAGTTTAACTTGACATCATTTCTCTTGCCTCCAAGATCACCACAAAGCAAGCTGCCGTGTACTACACCAATCAACCAACCAGCGATAAAGAAACCTAAAACCCTCATTTTAATATGGAGCACGGAATGTGACAAAATTAAATAAATAAATATATAATAATGAAATGTATCATTTAATTATTAAATACATCATTAAATCATTAAATACACAATTAAATGACTTATTTCCTGATTTATTTATTTAATTTTGTCACCATAAATTGGAGGACAGAATGTGACAAAAGTTAAATAAATAAATACATAACACAGACAACAATTTAATGTATCATTTAATTATTATATGCATCATTAAATACACAATTAAATTATTAAATACACCATTAAATAATGAAATGTACCTTTTAAAATATTTATTTCATGATTTATTTATGAATTTGATTTTGTCACCTTCTACCCTCCAGTGGCATCATGAAATTGTGAAAACTGTCAGTCGCACTAGTCAAACTCAGTGGGCGGTACTAGGGCGGGACTAACGCTGATCATGTGAAATCCATTGCTTCGGTCTGAAGTCGGTTCATATGCACGGCAGCTCCCTCCATGCTGGACCTTTATTTGCTCTCTTGTGAACTGGTTAGATATTTTAAGCCAAACTATGGATATAGAAGCTCCCCCAGAATTTGTTGTAAATAAATTGGAACAGGGATGGATGGATACAGCAGATTAATAGTATATCTGTTTATTCTTGTCTGTATGACTGTTGCTGTTGTGATCGGAAAGTCGCAGGGTCAACTCCCAGTACCGTCAACATCAAAATATGGGTGGAAAAAGTGAAACACCCACACCTGTCTATACACTATCATTTGCTCCACTCTGAGCCCCTGAGCAAGGCCCTTAACCCCCACCATCTGCTCCCTAAACAGGTCTCTCTTGAAAATGAGTTCTCGTGACTCAGTGAGTCTACCTGTATAAATGAAGGGTAAATGAAATAAAAAAAGGAAGGGAAAACGTAGCAGAAGGTAGGAGAATTCATGATCAGGAACTGAAAGGAACTTTCACAATATCCTGATGCATGCTCAATAATCCACGTAGAAAAATCCAAAAAAGTTCAATCTGGTCCTCTGGACATTCAAAAAAACAAAACAAAGCAAAACAACAACAAAAAAATGAAGAAACATTTTGTCTTTCATCCGAAAGACTTCGCTGTATTCAGCTCAGTCTTACTAGTAGTCTTGCTAGTATCACTCAGCCCTCTGTGAACAGTAAACAGCCATCAGTGTGCTAATGATCCATCGTTAGGCTGATGGTCCTTCTTGACCATGTGATCAGCTGGTTTTGGTTGTCAGCAGCAAAACTGGTTGATCCACTCTGAGAAGGTGCTATTTATAAGACTGAGCTGAATACAGCACCTCAGACTGAGGAAGTCTCTCGGATGAGAGATGAAACGTTTCTACACTTTTTGTTGTTGTTTTGCTTTGCTTTGTTTTTTTTGAATGTCCAGAGGACCAGATTTAACTTTTTTTGAACTTTCACAATGTTCACAATCAGCAGTAAGTATAACGCCTGTTTGACAAGTGCACACATCTTTAAGATATACATAACATGAAACAACAGTCAACTTAATTTTTATTACAGAATAGAGAGGATGTGGTGAGATGTCTATGAGCATGCCTTACACCTGTTCTATCAGGTTTTCACTTCACTGGAAGGTCGAGAACATTTGATCTAGATAATGAAGTCCATCTTTATGCTCTACACCACGGCTTTCATTCACAAATCCAGAAAAGTCTGGACTCTTTCAGAGATGGTTGGAACTCCCATCGTCTTCGAACTGAAAGGAATCGGTCACCATTGTAACTCTGGACAAGATACAGAGAGCAAGGCACCACAGAGGATCCTGCAGAGGTTAAAGAACCAGTCTTTCATTGATTTTATTTTTGGACATTGGAAGCATTTTATATTTAAATTTTGTTTAAATTTGCTGCTTCTCGTAAAAGTATGTCTTCTTCATTACATTCATTGCATGAAAAAAGGTTTCATCCACAAGTAAACACAATTACTGCTTCCTAAAGTTTCGTAATATATTTTCTTGCCTGTGAATCAATCCATTATCTGCGGTCGATTTGTTTTCACATTCTGTGAGGAGCAGCCAATCAGGCATCAGGATCTGTGCACGACCCGCCCTAGTCCCGCCCACTGAGTTTGACGAGTGAGACTGACAGTTTTCACAATTTCATGAAGCCACTGGAGGGTAGAAGGTGACAAAATTAAATTCATAAGTAAATCATGAAATAAATAACTTAAAATGTACATTTCATTATTTAATGGTGTATTTAATAATTTAATTGTGTATTTAATGATGTATATAATAATTAAATGATACATTAAATTGTTATGTTTGTTTTATGTATTTATTTATTTCATTTTGTCACATTCCGTCCTCCAATGTATAGTGACAAAATTAAATAAATAAATAAATCATGAAATAAGTAATTTAATTGTGTATTAAATAATTTAATTGTGTATTTAATGATTTAATGATGTATTTAATAATTAAACGATACATTTCATTATTATGTACTAATTTATTTAATTTTGTTACATTCCGTCCTCCATATTTTAAAGGTTAGTACTTTTCATTCAACCTTAATTTATACAGATTAATCCCATTGAGCTTTGGAGAATTATTTACAAAAACCTGGGAGACTACTTACAATACTGAAGAACAAAATGCAAATCTCAACAATGACTTATTGAAAGTCATTTTTTAATATACAGTAGTCCCTCGCTATTTTGCGATTCATTTCGCTCTAGTGCGGTTTTTCAAAATAATATTGGACAGGACACACAATTGGCTGACTGATGGATGAGCCGCACGATAGGCATGGATTTTTTATTAAAAATAAATTATTTTAACTTATTTAGCACCTGCTGCTCCTTTGTGCAGCCCATACTGCAGGATAAAACTTCCTGCTGCAGCTGATAAGCTGCTTGTGCAGATCAGAGAAGTGGGTGTGGCCAAGAGCGCTTGCAGGTGGCTGAGAGCAGCGGAGGCAGGGAGCTGAAATCATGACATTCTGTGCTCTTTTAGAGAGTTTAGATTTGAGAAACATTGTTTAGAATAATGCAAGAGTGTGGGAAAGTTTTAAAATGCCTTTATATATACTGTGTATACTGTATACTATATATATATATATATATATATATATATCTATATATATATATATATATATATATATATATTTCTTTTTTTTTCCATCTTCTTCTTTCGGCTAATCCCTGCATTAGGGGTCGCCACAGCGAACTAAGTCACATGAAGACTTGGCAGTTAGTTATTTTTATGCCGGATGTCCTTCCTGACGCAACCACAGACCACTGACCTACCACAGCCCTCTGTGTGGAGCAGAGAGCTGCTATCTGGGACACCGGGAGGAGCAGATGGTGGGGTTTAAGGCCCTTGCTCAAGGGCCCAGAGTGGGAAGAATGAGGGTGGGGGCAGGTGTGGGTGCTTCACCTACCCCACCTACATTTTTGATGTTGTCGGTACCGGGGCTTGAACCGGCAATCTTCCGATCACAGGCTCACCTTCTCTAACCACCACTCCCCCTATAAATATATTTACTACATGTACTAATATTCCTACTTGGTGGTTTTTCACTTATCGTGGGGCTTCGGGGTACGAGGGACAACTGTACTTTATCTGTGTAAACTTTCAATCATTAAGAAAAGAAAAGCTCAGAAGAAAACTGATTTCCAGTTAAAACAAAAATATGTGACCTTTGCTAAAGTATGATGAGTTGGTTTCAACCTAAAAATGATCAACTACTGGGTTAAACTACATTTGACATGAATAAGACATTTGCAATCTGATTGTATGTCATAAGAAAACAACAACATTGAACCAGGCCGACTGTGTAGCCGTTACAGAAGTTTATTTTTTCTTTCCTAAAACAGACATTCTTAGGATGAAATGTCTTACCCTGCGTGGGTGTGAGTGCGGCATCAGCCAGAGCATAATTGAGCGTACGGATGAGCAGGGTCATGTCCTCATGCCGAGAACAGTAGGTCGCCCTCTGACGACCAGACACGTAGACGTCGTGGTGCAGCCTTTTGACCCGCTCCACCACAGACTGAGCCACCGCTTCTAGACTAGTCTGCTGGGCCAGCTCTGCTGCTACCATGGCAACAATTTCCTATAGAAAAGAGCAACAAAGTCAGAAAAAAAGACGAGTTATATCTTGAGGTGATGTTACAGTACAAGGGAGAAAGATAATTAAAAACAGTGAGAAGCAAAATGGAGTATCAGAAAATAAAACATAACAGTGAATATATGACAGTAAATATTTAAAATAAAATAGACAAGAAAACTGCACTTGGATCAACAAAAATAAAAGAATGAAAAATCAGACAAACAAAAAAACAAAACAAAATAAAGGTGACAGAAAATGTGTATAGTAGTCTCTCGCTACTTCGCAGTTCAACTTTCACGGACTCACTCGTTTGTGGTTTTTCAAAATAAGATTGGACATGAAATTTTGCAGTACTGTACAGTATATATGATGTATGTTGTTGAAATGATGTAGGTTTAAGAGTTTAGAACATTGCAAGAGTGTAGGAAAAGTTTCTAAAGCCTTAAAATATATATACATACTAAAATAAATATAATGTCCCTACTTCGTGGATTTTCACTTATTGCGGCGCGATATTGAGGGACTATATACTGTACAAGTTATAGAAAAATGATAAAGATAAAATAAGGCACAACACTGGTGAAAAAACATAAAATAAAATTGCATTTTCAAAATGCAGAGGAAAAGGTTAGAAAACAAAAGAAACTAAGAATTCCTTGTGAGGGCATAACACCAGAGGGAAAAATAAAAAACTAGTAATCAGAATGGCTGCTAACCTGATTAACCTGTTCGGGGCCGTGGGCAGACTCAAGTGCATTTATTAGACCCTCTGACATCAACAACAAGAAGCCTGTCATGCCATCCAAAGAGTGGCTGCCATGAATCTCTGGCTCAGGGATGATGGGCCTTGTTTTGGCTGCACTAAAAGTGGAAAAAGACGTGAGAGTGACAGAAGATGGGACAAGAAATGACGGGGAGGGCAAAACAGAAAAGATAATTAACATAAAATAATAATAATTAAATGACTGAGAAATTAAAGGAAAGACAGTAACAAAGACAGCATTTGGTAAACATTCGTTACAACTGGTCGTTCGCTTTGTTTGGATGAGAACTGTGAATAAGCATACGATAAGAGCTGTTTAAAGAGGAACAAAACTTAAAAAAAAAAAAAGTTAGAACATTCTGATATGATAATATTGAAACACTGAGCTGATTACAAATGCAGATAAAAAGCTAGAATAAGGATACTAGTGCTAAATCTTTCATTCATACAACAAAGAAGGAAAACCACTAGTTTGATCCTCTGAAGTTGAAAAAAGTCAGCATTGCAAGTCAAAAATAAAAATATCCTTGTTATATATTGTCATTGTCCAGCAGCTGATGAAAGAAACATGGGACAGTTTCTACCTCTGGCCTTGAAACAAATCTAGTACATAAACTAAACTATTTTTGGGAAAACAGATATTTAAAATTATGTGTTGACTTTTTGTCGTGTCTTTTTTGTTTTACACCATTCCCAGATCTCCAGACTTTTTATGCTGAGTGAAAGAGGGACATAAAAGCATGTCATGTTCATTGATCTACTGCAGAATCAAAATGATTCTTGGTGTTTCGGTAACCAGTTTGACAAGACTGTCGACAAGGAAGAGGACCGGCAATGGAGGAGGGGGCGTACCAAAAAGACCATCTAATCACAAGCAGAACTGGTTTGTTCCACTTTGGAGTAAGCTGTTGGGGGAAGAATCAGTTTTGTTGTGCGTTTCCTTGACTGATGAAGCGTTCCGGACCGAAGGCGAAACGTTTCAGCACAAAAAAGAAACTGTGCAGATGACCTGACTGAAAAATGTTGGCAACATCAAAGATGCATCACATGTAAGCCATAAAGCAAATAAGAAGACTGAACTTCACAGTAAAGAGTCAAAATTACAACCACCAGTGTCACCTGAGCAGATCGATTTCATTGTGGTTAAATTTGACTCTGTAGTCTCCGAGCCTCCTTGTGCTGCTCTGTCCAGCTATCTGCCCTGCTTGTCTCACACGAGCTGCATCTACGCCTACAAAACAGAAAAGGCAAAAGAGTCATGGTGAGGAGATGCAGTGTGTGAGTTTTAGAAGAACTAAGGGTGGAACAAATTATTTTGGTCAGGGGAAGGGAAGTGTAAAATCACTAAATAGAAGCAGGAAGAAGAGTTGGCAGGAGGAATGCTAACAGGTGAATGAAAGTATGAGGTGAGGCGACCTTAACCTAGCTTAATAGAATGGCTGCTATTTCAACAGCATGTTGCAAGACAAAAACAAACCAAGAGTGCAATCTTCTTTAAAGATGTGGTGTGAGATGCTTAAATCTAAATGTGCTTAATTTCCTATTATATCCACAAGGTTCTTCAGCACAGCTTGTTGCCGTGTATGTATTTTCTGTTACATTTACAACCCTCATTACCAAACCATTAACTGGGCTGTTCTTCATGGATCAATGACTCCATGTGTGTCTGTGAAACAGTTAGTGCAGCACTGGCTGCAAAACACATAAAACAGAAAGAGGAAAGTATGGCAAGTCTGCTTCTACAATAGAACGTGAAGGCTAAATGTGTTTCTATTTGCTCATTAGGACCAAAACAAACGTGTCTATAAATGTATTTAGAGGATAGGCTCACAAAATGTAAATTTTTTTTATTATAAATGTACAAATTGCAGTTTGCATTTACAAAATAATTGTAAATGTTCCTCTCTACACATTGTCTCAGTTTTCAAAGGTCTCTTCAGGATCAGTGACAACCAGGATTTTTGTAGCATTCACAGCATATTATTTATTGATTACAGTCTCACAGAGTGAGGCAAGTGTTCTGAAATGTTTAATCAAACTTTTTTTTTCTTTTTGGAAAGCTCTAAAAAAAGCTAGCATGTAACAAATTTTGTCTCGATTAGACCACTGCTGGACTAACTATACCTTTACTGAACAATGATGTAATGAGCGAGATGAGATGGTCTGCGGCCAAATCTTAAAGCAGTTCTTGTTAAAACTTTGAATTGAATCTCTGTTCAAACTCTGTAGCACTTCTAGATTTAACATAACACCATCTTCATATAAAACCACTGTGATTTATTTAAACTAACACATATTGTGTGAAATTTGCTTCGTCTAGTCTGGCAAAGAATTGAGTACAGTACCTCGATCTGGAAAAAACTACCAAAATCAAACCCCATTTTACTCCTTTTTTGTATTTTCTACTATAGGTTTAGGTTTGTCATATGTAGGTCAACACAAAGTCAACAATGCAATGAAATGCTCAGAAAGAGAAGAACCATCTCAACTCACCAAAACAATAACAAGCAATACCAAAGAATGCAACAAAACTAGAAAAACAAGGTGCCAAAAGTAAAAAAGAAATAAATCTACAGCAGCAAGGTCCTATTAGCAGCATGGTAATGTTAGCAGTGAGGTTCTCTTAGCAACATGGTTCCGTTAGCAGTATGGTACAGTTAGCAGTGTGGTTCTGTTAGCAACATGGTCCCATTAGCAGCAAGGTACTGTTTGCAGTGTGGTTCTGTTAGTAGAATAGTCCTATTTGCAGAGGTTCTCTTAGCAACATGGTCCTGTTAGTACCAAGGTACTGCTGGCAGCATGGTTCTGTTAGCAGTGCAGTCCTATTAGCATCATGACGATAACGACCGTGACAACAAACAATAACTGCCCTCCAAAACCGGGTCCAGCAGACACAGGACATTCAAGGTTTCCCAGCGGAACCGAACTGTTTCGTAGAGTTCGGTCCATGCACGCAGATAGAGGATCATGGAGGCGGCCGCCATAACAGGCCAAAGTCTGAGTCCCAGGTAGGCCAGGAACTGAAGCACAATGGCAGGATGGCACAATGACAAGGCAGCGACACACAAAACTCCAAAAGTGCGTTGCGTTCATACCCGTAGCGTGAGTGTGCAGTGTAGGCGCAAAAAAAGTTAAAACAAAAGCAACAGGAACAAAAAAAGGGCGAGTCGAATCGGAGCTCCTGTCAGTGCTGCCATACTGCGGTGCACGTGTAAAAGTACTACTGCACCAAGGTTTTGTGTGGTCATGCTGAGGGGGATGTTGCATCCGTTTATGTGAAGAAATTTACAACGGCAGATGATGTATCAACTTTTTTAATGGTTTTCACGTTACCTAAACATTTTAAACTCTACTTTTTGCAACACTGAATTAAGGAGTCAATGTTGGTGTGCGGCTAAGAAATAACATTCAGCCCAAGTGTTTACATTAGTGTGGGACTACAACAGGGAGCTATTTCATATATGATATAATCAATTGTCTACAGTATTTCTGTCATTTCTGGACAGCTGTGAAAACATCTGTGCATCTTACCCAGTGCAGCCAGTCTCTGCAGCTCCTCCTCGTTGTCTGTGCTGTGTGGTCGACCGATCTGAAGAACCTGGTTCTGGCCATCGATGCTTGACTTACAAAGCAGAACTCGGTTGGTACCTGAAGACACAAACATTTATAAAGAGATTCAGCATCTGTCAAAGCTAAAAAAAAATACGATTAAGATACACAGTAAATCTAATTTATTAATTTAAACAAACAGTGCAAAGATCCCATCAACTATGGCTTGAAGTCAAATACACAAACCAACATTTCTAACAAACATTAGCGTAGGAAAAAAAAAAGAGGTTAAAATGTGTTTTATGTCAAATAGACATAAATAACACTCCAAGAAAAAAAATCAAATTACAAACAGCACAATTAAACTTTATTTAAAAAGTCTAAAACTAAACCTTTCCTGTGATAAAGCTAAAAATTAATTACTTGCTCATGAAACAGAACAAAAGCTGAGTAAAGCCGAATCGATGATTAATTAACTTTTATAATTAAACTTCTAGCCTATTGAGCAGAAGCATGATGCCGTCCCAGACCAAGTGTCTGTTTTCTGATCTCAAAGTGCCTGACGCAGTTTGGGCTGTTAAACTGATACCGTGGTCACAAAATCAATCTAACCATTTCAATTTCCAAAGATTTTATACTTGCATGTGCTAAAATAAGGCGGTTGTACTCATGTTCTGCTGCTGAATGTTTACCTACACCCTTATTTAACCCATCTTTTTCACCCACACACACGTTCTCAGCTCAAATATATTTAACATCCACAAACAGCTGGAAGCTATTTAACATGCGCACTTAATCTGAAGAACATCCCAAGCATTTTGTCAACTTTGAACTTCTGTCCCATCCCTAAGGCTGTTCCCACTGGGAGACAAAAATCCCCACCCACCTACTGAATGAATGCCATGCTCTTGATGAAAACGAGAAATACATTTTCTTGAGCTTGCTCAAGAATCAAAGAAGTAAACAGAAATACAAAAACATCTACAATGACTCATACGAGGGGTTTATTAGGCAAAATGTTCAGAATCTATCTAGAATAAGATTCACGTTACTGATGACTACTTAATAAAACAATTCCATACTCCGTCCCCTGACATTCATAACGATGTTTTTGAAAGCTTTCAAAGTGTTTATGGCTTCATTTGCTGTAATTGCTGTTTCTGTGTGGAAATATTTGTGTTCTTCCTCAGTTACAAATCTAAAATGGCCAAAGGGATTTTCTGTTAAAATATTAATGACAGACATTTTTTTTTTTGCTCCACAGCTGAAAAAGATGAGAATCTTCTAATACAATATTATGCAAACAAATATGTGCACACGTACAACAAGGAGGCCATGATTCTTGCTGTTATCTGTTGATGTTGGATTTGATAATAGGAACAAAACAGATAAAGTATTGAGCAACAGTATAGGTGTTGAAGAGTAAATAACATTCCAACATCTTCCTGAAGGTCACAGAAAACACAACCAGTGTTTCACATACCATCAAGGAGTGCGCCCCATCTTGTCAACAGAACCGAGTGATTTGCTTACCAACATACCGCAAACCTAAAATATCACAGTCCATATCTACTTCCTTATCAGTGCTCCATTCTTTAAGCTTATTTAAAAGGCATATGGGGGAAAGCAATGAATACATTTGAAATTATTTGATAATTTCTTGGTGATTTAGGTTTGCAGACACTAACATTAAGAACTCTTGCTTGAGTTGAATGGTGCCATGTTTAACGTTCATTTTCAATAAATCATCAGATAATGTATTTAATGAAACAGAAATTTTAACTTTTGGCTAGAAAACTCCCACTAACAATGACTCATTTAACAACAAAAACAACAAATAAATAAATCAGTAAATAAATAAAAAGGACGCACTGATCACAATTTTTTAGATCAATTTAGAGTTTGAGATTTGTAAAGCTGCATGTTGCCAATACAAATTTTAATCTAATCATGTATAAAAAAAATGGTCCAGTGACTTGGGTTTATTACATTTTCTGTAATTTAAACAAAAAAAAAAAAAAAAAAAAAAAAAAAAAATCACAGAATTAAAATCTGTGTCAAGTCTGACATCTGGTGGTGAGAAGCTTACTTTCTTACTTATAATAAACATTTGTCTTAAAACCAATTTAAAAATGTCACACTAAACATTATTCAAGCCATCTTAAGCCCATTTACAGACGTGCACATACCAACATTGGCAATGTAGAGCCTGTTGTTGAGAATCAGCGCCACCACAGCTGTAGCACCTCCTGACACCTCCTGCTCCAGCTCCTTCAGGCGCTCCTGCACCTTCTGACTCTGAGGAGAGAGCTGATGGAATGACACATTCTGACCAGCCGGAAGGTATCCAGAGACAGAGGAGATGAAGAGGGAGGAGACAATGTTATGGATAAGAGGGAATATTAGGAATGGAGTAGAAAGAACTGAAACGGAGAACAATCAGTAGATGTAGGCGGCACAACTGTCAAAGACACAAAAATAAAACAAGTTAAAGATGAGAAAAGAAAGAAAGGAGGAATTACGGAGGCATAGCTATAAAAACACAGGGAATCTAATTTTAAAAAGTTGGTGTTGGGCAATAAATCAACAAAAAGCAGGAAGAACTAGATCCAGTGAAGGAGTGCTGTGACAGATTTATTCAACAAAACAAGCTTTGGTTGCTATAGAGACGCACTCTGCATTTTCAGCATAATTTGTCAAAATGCTTGGCTTTATGTAAAAGTGTTTACCTCATTGTGTGGCAGGACAAAGTTGGACAGGCGAGCTTTCTCAGCCAGAGCATCATCTATTGTTTTAAAGTAGCTCTTCTCCACCACGTCAAAGGCCTGAAACAACCCAAAGAGTTTCCACCACTTACTTATTTTGTAATGTGTACAATAAACCAGGTATCGACACAAAAATAATATTTGAAAAAAAAAAATCATCGCTCATATTTTGAGGCTGACAAATCCAGATGACATTTTGGTTGTTTCAATGTAAACAACTTTGTGACTTTCGATCATATTGCATCTTTAAAATTGTAAATACACAACAACAACCAACATATTGCACAACATCTAAAACAGAAGTACTGCCCGAGTGTTTTTGTAACGATCTATGGGGAGAAACTAGATTGTCAGCTTAAGTTTTTCACACACTCTTAAGATCTACAGTAAGATTTGCATGAGACTTTCTTGATCTGCCTTTAGGCATAAGCAGCAGACTTTTTATTTGTGCATTTTTTTCTTCTAACACCAGGTAAGTCTGGAATTTTACTGTGAAACTGCAGGCATTACGCAGAGCTGACACAAATATGCACATGAATAAATATTAATGCAGCACACGTAAAGATTATTTCCATGAATTCTATTCAATATTATTAAATATGTCTTGGCATGAAAAACAACAACAATTTTTTTTTTAAAGCTCTCCCCAGAGGGCCTCTGGCTCACTTTGAATAGGTTATCTCAATGGAGTTACAGAAATAAATTTTCATTTTGAGTTGCTATCATTTGGTCTTCATAAAGATTTTAACTGAGTTTAGGCATTTATTAGCAGAGTACAACACTTGGGTAAACTTTACCAGCTTTTGCAATAACTTGAATGTACATAGGTTAAAATGATGTAATTTCAGTGTAAGAAAGTGACAACACAGTGGTACAAGTTAAATTTCATCCTCACGTAAAGAAAGAATTAAAAAGTAATAATATATTGATGAAATATTATAAATGTAAATGAACAGGTGAACAGAACCAGACCTGTGTAAGGATCCTGCGGACGTCGTTGTCTGTGTGACTTGAGTTTAGTTGTCCAAGTAAGAGTTCAGCTGTCAAACACTGGGCAGCAAAGTTAGCAACTCTGTTGCCATCATAACCATTAAAAACCCCGTACAGGAAACACCCGTCTTCAAATCTAATTGATTAACAAATCAAAAGAAACAAAGTTATTGTTCATTTATCGAGAAGATAAAACAACAAGCAAAAAGGACATTCTTCATTAGTTACAAAGCATTTAGTTTATATGGGAACATAAAGAGTCAAGTAAAGTAATAAGATTTACTTTTATGCTATCTACTGGTATGCAATATATACAGTATATATGCATCATGATATAAGTCTAAGATCGTCATCATTGTATGTTCCCATACAATGGCAAAATTAGTTCTCTGAATTTAACCCATCGCACCTGGGATACACCCAGGTGGTGCAGTGGGCAGCTATGTAGGTGCCCGGGGAGCAATTAGGGATTAGGTGTCTTGCTCAGAGACATCGTGACATATGGAAATGGCTGGGGATCGAACCTGGGACTTTCTGATCTCAAGCCGGCTGCCCTACCTCTACCCCATCTCGGCCCCTGAAAAAAAAAGCAATAAAACAACTGTCCCCAGAGTGTGTGTGTATGTAAAAGAAAAAGTTGCCACCTGGATTTAACTAAGCAAATAGGTACGAGCCTCCTATTGGATAATTACTGCATGGGCGATCATCTTTCAGCTGGCAACAAGTTACTTAACCCCAACTGGTGCAATGAGTTGCTTCTCATTTCTTAAACAACCATGTTGAAAGACACATCACATAGTTGTGGAAAATATGTCAGTCTGTTTGAGAAGGGTCAAATCATTGGCATCAAGCAGAGAAAACATCTAAAGAGATCGCAGAAACTATTAAAATTGGGTTAAGAACTGTCCAACATCCAAAAACTGGAAGGACAGTGGGGACCCATCGTCTTTGAGGAAGAAATGTGGCGGGAAAAAAATCCTGAATGATCGTGATCGGCAATCACTAAATGTTTGGTGAAATCAAATCAAAGAAAAACAACAGTAGCACTCAGGGCTATGTTTAATAGTGAAAGTAAGAGCATTTCCACACACACAATGTGAAGGGAACTCAAGGGATTGGGACTGAACAGCTGTGTAGCCTTAAGAAAACCACTAATCAGTGAGGATAACTGGAAAAAAGGCTTCAATTTGCTATGGAGCATAAAGATTGGACTCTGGAGCAATGGAAGAAGGTCATGTGGTCTGATGAGTCCAGATTTACCCTGTTCCAGAGTGATGGGCGCATCAGGGCAGGTGAAGTGATGCACCCATCATACCTAGTGTCTAGTCATCAATGCAAGATCTTGGTGAAAAATTAATGCAACACTGGATGGAAATAGATCTTGTGACATTGCAGAAGCTTATCCAAACAATGTCACAGCGAATGCATGCTGTAATCAAAGCTAAAGGCGGTCTAACGAAATATTAGTGTGTGACCTTTTTTTTTTGGTGGCAAGTTTGGCCAGGCAGTATATATATATATATATATATATATATATATAATATATTAGATAAAAGTATTAATTTATTTTCTTTTTCAGCTGAGTGGGCAAAAACTTTTCAGATAAGATTGTTGTTTTTTCTCTTTACTTCTTCCCCTGGTCTTACTCACCTCAACCTGAGGTGTCCATCCTCCATGGGGTGGGTCTGAGCTCCTTTACCATCTGGGCTGTACACACAGTTGGGTGCTGTACCAACCCCACACATCTGGCACAGAGGGAGGTCATCTGTCCAGCTCTGATGCTGCAAAGATGTAAGGAGGGTGTCATTACAACAGCCTATATTAGATGCTTGTAATGTGTTTTTGTTGTTTTATGTAGGTTGGTAGCGAACTGTTACACATGTGAAGCAGTATCCAGACAATTAGTGGATTTGCATGGTGTGTCATGCTGCTAACAAGCTTTGGTCTCTATTTGCTCCTACTCATTCTGCCAAATTAATTAGGGCTTGTTTTTTTATCTGACAATAATTAAAAAGACTGTGATAGCTCACTTTCTTTCTCTCCTTCTTGTGCAATGCTTATAAATGTAAAATATGTTCAGGTGATTTGTACTTGTTTACTACAAGGAGAGTTTAGCCAAAAGTAATTCTGAACAACGAGTATTGATTGAGCAGCTTATACCTGGTCCTAATACAAAGACAATTACCCACTAGAGAAACTGCAAATTGCCTCTTTTCTTGACACCACTTGCTGGAACTTAAACTTTAAGCAAGTGACACTTCTAAACTCTGTAATTTAAGATTATATAAAGAAACAAAGTTCGTTACAGTTAACGTCACTTCTCCGGATTCTGGTAATTTCTTCTATATCTTGATAATAAACATGTAATACTGCCATTACCTTGTTTCAAAAATGTTATTAGCTAACAGTTAGCGAAGCACTTTATAGGCTCAACTAACACGGAATGGCCGTAAACAACACCGAACAGAACAAAGACAACAACAACAAGCACCGAAAGCCTAAAACGAAAGCAAATTAATTGATAAGCTTGGCGCAACAAGCACCTTATAGGCCAGTAAGAGCTATAAACAACAAATTAAACTTACGCTTTGCATCAAAGTCCTTCGCTGCGCCGCCATGTTGGATGGTAGACGCTGCGTTCATGAACACTCCCCACTATCCTAATTTTCACTTTCGTGAATACGTTGTTTCAATTATTATGAAGTAATAAAAGTCATAAAAGGTATAAGTAAATATAAATGTTTATTTTATCTTAACGTAAATATCTGACTCAACTAAGTTGTACATTAAATATTAGCGTTTGGTAAATTACAGTCTGCAACTAAATTCCGATTTCCCTGAAAGCATCAACACTCCAGAATCTTATTTGTTCTAAAAATAGATCCCCTCAGTGTAATCTTGATTTAAAATCCGTATAAAAGCAATATCCAGTTTACTTACATCAGTTTTAATCAATAATAAAATGACAGAACGCATATATAAAAAAATATCAGTTTTCAGTTTGGTCCTTGCATTAGCTTTCTTTGACAACACTACCACCTTATGGACTTGAAATAAACTACAATTTTTGAAAAAAAAAAAAAAAAAAATGTTCCTGTTTTAATCAAGAAGGGGTCTCTGCAGGCAAATTCGGAAGGCGTATCTGGGCGGTCATATCTGATTGGACTATAGGAAAGTGGGCGTATCTGGGCGGTCATATCTGATTGGACGATAGGAAAATGGGCGTTTCTGGCTGGCCGGATCTGATTGGACGATAGAAAAATGGGCGTGTCTGGACGGCCACATCTGATTGGACGATAGAAAAATGGGCGTGTCTGGACGGCCACATCTGATTGGACCATAGAAAAAAAAAGGCTGAACGATAAAATGCCGTAACCACAGACACATGATGTCTAAAAACAAGGCGTTATTGGCAGATTGTGTTAACCACAGGCATATTATGTCTATGGTGTTAACCGGTTCGACATTAGCGGCGTCTCGGTTCGACATCGCTCCAGTATACTGCCGCGGCGTCTCCATAACTTCTTTTTTCGACTCTCTTAACACAGAACTTCCGGTTACATTTCAAAATTTTTTATTTTTTTTCATTTAGCCTTTATTTATCCAGGTTAGTCTAAGAGCAACATAACTGGGTAGTGGGGAGAGCTAAATGTTAGGTTTTTTTTTTTTAATACCTAGCCATAACATTAAAAAAACAAATTCCATTTTGATTGTTGAAAAATGTGAACAAAGTTACAATCGATTCATAAAGAAAGAAAAATATTAATGATACTTAAACTGGCCTTGGGACAAAGGAGGTTTCCTTTAACTTCACATTTTCTTGTTCAACCTGCAGTCACTGCAGATGAGTGATTGTCAGTTTCTGTAAGATTTCTGCACCTGGAGCAGGTATTTCTGTTTACTGGTTAACTTCCTCAGCTGTCTCACATTTTAAAGGTCAACCCTACTCCATGTTTCAGTAGAAAACAAGCACATTTAGGAGTCAGTACATAACCAGACTTTTGGCCCTCACACCTGTACCCAGTTGCTCATGCTGCATGATGAGATCAGATTTATCCATATTTTAGAAATTACATTTAGCTCAGTCGACAAAACAATACAAATGAAGACCGTCTTATAAAAAGCTCTTGGTTTTGCAGTAAGCAGCCTGATTTCAAACTGACATCTTGGCCAAAGGTAAAATAAAAATCTTTGTGTTCTCAGAAAAGTTGTTTCAGGACCTCCAATAAACTTATGTACACATCAAAGCACACAAGACAGATTCAGGAATTCTCTTTGTTTTCCAGATTTCTCATTTGTTATTACCTTAAAACATACTCAGACAACATTTGATGCATCATTGAATTTTTTTTATTGTGTTTATTGGGACATCCATTTTTAGAAGTCATCATAGCATCTGTTGGAAACACAGAACATAGTACAGTTAGGGTGTTGCTAGTTGTTACTTAATCCTGGATTGGATTTTAAAGTTAATTTTGATATTTTTTTTCACAAGAAAAAAAAAGTTGATTTCCTAAAGTTTAACTATAAATGAAGGAATTTGTGCATTCAGGTAATTGAAAATTAAGTAATTTCACTAACATCCAACCCATTTTAGCCACTGAGCCATACCAAACACCCATAATCTATTATTGAATGAATTATTGACTATTATTGACAAATTACAGACTTATTATTGAATAAGTTATTACTCATTATTGAATCATTGACAATTTACACTCATGTTTGTGTTAACTCATGTTGCAACAAGGTCAGCAACTTTTGACTATTACTATGAACTATGTTAAACTTTGGAGGCGATTTATTTTGAAAGTCAACATCAGATGTTGGTCAACATTGTTGGGCAACATCTTGGGGTCTTCTAGAGTCAGTCTGAAGTGAGAGTGGTCCCTGACATGGCAGAAAGACATATATATAATTAACAGCTTTTATTTATTTATTTTTCAGCTAATAACAACTTTTATTTATTTGTTTTTCATATGTTTCAGTTATACTCAGCTTTTAAATATTTATTTTTCAAGTATTAAGAACTTTTATTTTCAGCTTTTATTTTGAAAAGCAACACCCAGTTGTTGTAAACGTGCACAGTGAGAGCTGCTGTGGAGGCTCACTTTACCTCAGTGCGTTACGACAACGAGAGAACGGTCGAAACTATCGTGACCTACAATAAACGTACTTCAATAAAATGCATAAGTGAAAACACAACATACTTTATAAGTACAATAAACCATATTTCTTTGTCAAACATCGCAAAGAAACGTTACCTCATCAATAATCCTCGTGACTTTGAGGGTTACCCACAGCCAATCAGTGTTCGCCGCCGACAAACGCCTATTAAATACTGTTAGCCAATCAGTGTTCGCCGCCCATAAACGCCTATTCGCCAGAAACGCCCACTTTTGGTCTGCAGAGACCCCCTTCTCGTTTTAATCGCCCAGCTTTTCACTTCTTCACATGTGAATTAAGTGACAAAGAAATTGGAAATAAAGATTTAAATGTGGATATTGGTCAATTAAACATGTCAATTTGTTAATCTTTTGTTGAAGCAGCAAACAAGTCGATAAAGGAGGTAACAATAAGGAAAAGATCATTCCATGGACAAAGAATGTGAACAAGCAATTAAGTCTAAAAAAAAATAAAAAAATAATCAAAGCTTTAAAAAAATTACAAGAAATAAACTCGGAATCTTATTGAATATTAAAGGTTGCAAAGCACTGTAAGAAGAAACATCAAAAATACAAAATTGTTGATTTTGAAGGTGTTTTTGTAGCTCAGTGGGATGAGAAATAGAAATTAGTAAAGTGATAAAAAGAATGCATGAGGTAAGACAGTTCTACACAATGATGTATAAACAGTTGTACATGATGGGGAAGAAACTGCAGCTGAAAAACAGGAGAAAACAGAAATAATAAAACCTTTTATAAAATTTATAGTTCAAATAATTTTAATGAAGAGAAAAGAGGAAGTGAGAGAACTATAACAGAAAATAGTTATTAGAAGAGGAAGGAGAATATGATTTAATAAATATTCCATTTACTAGGGCTGCACGGTGGCGCAACTGTTAAAGCTGCCACCTCTCAGCGAGAAGGTTGCCAGTTCAAATCCGTGCACGGGACATTTCTGGGTGGAGTTTTCATGTTCTCTCCATGCATGCCTAGATTTTCACCAGGTTCTCCCGTTTCCTCCCATGTTACACTGACTGGTAACTCTAAATTGTCCCTAGGTGATAGAGAGAGAGTCCCAATGAGTCATTTGAGTCCCAATGTATATGGTCCATGATGTGATTTTGTGTAAATTATCATGTTAGCTTGGTGATTCTTGCCTTTTTTTTCTCATTTATTTGTTGTAATATTGTTGCTTTAGGTGTATGGTTCCGTATGGTTCAGTTCTTTCTGAACATCAAGCTATGTGCCTGCTCAATTCACAATACCTGACATACCCAGTATGTAAAACTGATAAGTTAGATTCATTTCTCAGCCATCCAGCTGTCATTTAGCTTACAACACCCACCTCAGCTGAAACAAAAATACTTTCCTTTCATCACCATTTATTTATTTATTTATTTAATCTAATGGAGAATGTTAGGTTTAAATAGAATGCATTTTCTTTTAAATTTCCTATAGTATACATTGCTTGGCTAAAAAAAAAAGTCGCCATCAAAAATAAAGGTCACACACTAATATTTTGTTGGACCGCCTTTAGCTTTGATCACAGCATGCATTCGCTGTCGCATTGTTTTTATTCAATTCAATTCAATTCAAAAATACTTTATTAATCCCAGAGGGAAATTAAATATTGTTGTAACTCATCATCCTGGTTTCATTAAAGAGTTGTTATAGATGCTGATACCATACCATACCACTTTCTTTATAAAGCACTTAAAACAGCTACAAAGCCAATCGAAGTGCTGTACAGACAAAACAACAGGTAACACACAAAGCAAAATACAAAATGAGTTAAATCAGAATATAGACCAAAAACAATGCAGATAATGACGACAAACCAGTATGGAGCATACAGGATCAAAACACAGATCATCTTGTGTTGAAAGCTATTGAATAGTAGTGAGTTTTTAAACGGGACTTGAAAACCGAGAGGGAGGGGGCCTGTCTGACAAGCAGAGGTAACTCGTTCCAGAGTCTTGGTCCTGCTACAGAGAAGGCCCTGTCACCTCTACGCTTAAGACGAGTTCCTGGAACTGTGAGGAGCAACTGGTCCGCTAAACTCAGGGAGCGTGGTGGGACATACGGTTGTAGCAGATCAGAGAGATGGGGGAGGGACACTGTTCAGTGATTTGTAGACATACATGAGAATTTTGAACTGGATTCGAAAGTGAACCGGTAACCAGTGCAGTGAGGCCAAAACTGGTGTGATGTGCTCTCTTTTGCCTGTACTCGTTAAAATTCGGGCTGCTGCATTCTGGACCAGTTGCAGTCGTGCAATGGAGGTCTGACTGATACCAAACAGGAGTGAATTGCAGTAATCAAGCCTAGATGTAATGAATGCATGTATTACTGTCTCCAGGTTATTTTTGGACAATATGGGCTTCAGTTTAGACAGCCGCCTCAGTTGGAAGAAGCATGATTTAACGATCATGTTTACATGATTGTTAAGCTTCAGGGAAGG